TTCTCCTCGATGGACGTCGCCGGGGAGGTTCCGTCGCGGTCTAGCGGCGGTACTGCTCGGGACTGGTATTTAGCGTCCGGGGGTTTAGCACCCCATTCGGCCAACCGCCATAGCGCCGAGGACCCGTGTGATAGCTCGTCGACGAACCGGCGCCAGGTTGCTGCCTTTGCCTGTCGTATAGCCCGGTTGCGGTCGCGTACAGCGTCGCGATACCGTTCCTGGGCCGCGTCGCCATCGTGCCGGTGCCGGCGAGCTCGCCGTGCCGAGATAACAGCGTCGTAGACGACACTGGACCACCAAGGCGGTTGTGCCGTGGAGCCAGGGACGCGGCTCGGGACCGTGGCGGAGGCGATTTCGTCGAGTTGGTTATGGAGGTCGGTTAAGGCTCGGTCAATCGCGGCCGAGTCTGTTGGGACTTCGGGTGTTGTTATGAGCGTGGCCCCCAGGGCACGTATGGCGTCCGGGTCGGCCTCGCGCCATCGCCGGGTAGGGGCCGGCGAAGGTCTACGTGTATGTTGGATATGTGTTAGTTGGGGTATATGGTCGGAGCCGTGCAGGTCCCGCGGCGCGGGTATATGTCGGGGCTGGAGTGACGGGGAGGCCCAGACTAGGTCGATAGTACTAGGGCGCGAGGACCCGTGCCGGTCCCCTGGCGGTTCCCAGGTGAAGATGCCGGGTGGTGTTACCAGTACGAGCCGGGCCTGTCCCGCGGCCGCGATGAGATCTGAGGAGTCCCGGGTTTCGCGGCCGAAGAAGTCCCAGCTTGGGTGGTGGGCGTTGAAGTCACCGACAATAACATGTGGGGTTCTAGGAGAGAGATTGTTGAAGAGGGTGGCTATGTCGAGGACGGAGATAGCTCCGGACCGGTACACATTAGTGACCGAGACGGAGCCGAAGCGGATGGTGGTAGAAAATGCTGTGGAGGACGAGCTCCAAGAGTGTGTAGGGTGGCGTTTATGTACATATGTGGCCGTGCCATTATCAGTGAAAACGACGTGGTAGTTCAACAGAGCCGACGCGGGGACGTGACTGGTCCGGGTCGGCTCCTGGAGAGCGACGATGTCGAAGGCCTCGGGGCAGTGGAGAGAGATATCGATGTTGGCTGGGCTGTTCTGTGTATTCCAGCTAAGAATACTAAGCATCCAGTTGGTCGGGCATAGTTATGTCGGTCGTCGGGCCTCGGGTGGCTGCTGGCTCTGGGGCAGGCGCCCCAGGATTCTTCTGGGTGCCGCCCGGGGCCTGGGAGGACCCGAACGGCGGGTTGGGGATATCCGGGCAAAAGTTGATCTTGTTAGTCTGGGGGGGAAGGGATTTGCGTGGTCGACCACGTTGTCGCTTGCGGTCCGGGCCCGGCGTGTCGTCTGAGTGTGTATAGATAACGGTTGGTGGTGGTGGTGGTGGTGGTGGCGGTATGTTAGCTACGGGTGCGTCCTGGAACCGGCGCGGGCGTATGCTGTAGGCAGCACGCGCTCGCTCCCATTCCCGATCAGCGACACGACAGGATCGTGCCCAAGCCGGGTGGTCCTTATTACAATTCGGGCACTTCGGTGCCGTAGAGGGGCAGGGAAGAGACCGCTTAGTGCCCTCGACGAAGCCGTGGTGATCCCCAGAGCAAGAGCCGCAGATCGCAGGTTTAGCGCACTGGCGAGATTGGTGGCCGAACTGGAAGCAGTTGTAGCACTGGAGGGGACGGGCAGAAGCTGTGTAGGGCTCGCAGTCGAAGAGCTGGCCGTCGATACCAAAACCTCGGTCGCAGAGCTTATTGGCGGTCTCTATGTCTGTTACATACAGGATGAAACTGCGCTTGGTGGCTCCGGGTCGGGCCCGGGCAGGGATCACCCTTTGGAAGGAAATACCGTTCTGCGCAGCTACGCCGTGGATATCGAAATCGGGATTAATGACCGCGGGCGGTACGCCTCTTACGATAACAGCGTGTTCAGTTCGGAGCCGAGTCGCTCCCGAGCCGAATACATGTAGCAGCCAAGCCTCGTCGATCTGGGAACTAACAGCTGCGGCCGCGAAAGTGAGGCGTACGTCGCCAGAAGGGAGTGTTCGGGCAGCTATTACCGTGTTATTTCGAAGCACTGAGTTGGCGCGCTGGATAGTATCGTGGCTAGACCGGCGCCGGGTCGCCTCCAGGCAGTTCGCAACGCGGACGGTGACTTCATAAGGTTCGGCTTTGTTTGGGGCTTTAGTATTAGTCTTGTCGGTAGTAGATGGCTTGGTGGTGGAGGCGACCTGGGCCCAGGTCGGTTGGGATTTGGACTGGAGGAGGGTTTCCTTAACGACCTCCCGGATGACATCCCGGGTAAAGGTCGGGTCTGCCGTGGCCCCGTGTAGGGGGTAACAGTCGAGGGAACTAGTGATGTCCCTGGCGAAGATGTCGATGGCGTCCACCGCTTCGGGCTTATTGGCGTCTCCTACCAACCGGAGCAGTTTCGTTTTGAGGGTAGATATATAGGAAAGAACCTATTCCTTAGTCGGGTCTATTGCGGCTTCGGCGCGCGCCCGTGCCTTCTTCGGGGAGTTCCCCTGAGAGGCTCGTTTTGTTGGCGAAAAGACCGATTGACTCAGCGCTCCTGCCGCGGAGCCTGCGCGGCTACGTGGAGGGCCCATAGAGCTATATCGCTATGTTATCGATGAGATAAAAGATCGTTTAGCGATTTTAGTAAACAATGAAGCAAGCAATAGTCGATTTCAGGAATCTTCAAAGTCGATTCGATGGGGATGATCTAGGGTAGATTGTATAATAATATATTATTCTATAGAGCTATTCTCTATCTCAATATTATCTATAAATGCTACCCTTTTATCTTTACTAAGCCATGATTTTAGGCATTCAATTGCTTCAATACTTTGAATACCTAGCCGATTTCTTCGATCCGTCACAGTTATCTTACTACTTGAAAATAGACGCTCAGGCTCTACTGACATTGCTGGAATTGATAGAATATCTAATGCCATAATAGAGAGAGCTGGGTATGTCTTTCGTTGAGTTGGTTCAAGC